TAATCAAATTCGACAATTGCAGATGATCATCATTTATCACGTGATTTCCAGCATCAGCCGTTTCCAGCATCAGCCGTAACATTTTATTTATTAAAGCTTAGATAAGCTTTGGACACTTAGATGTTTGGATATTAGATATACCAAAAAAGGCTTTGAACATCAAAAACGTACATCCCTGGTTGAAGGTGGTGCAAATCTGAGTTCTGATAAAATAACCTTATTTATTTGTAGTATAAGCATATGTAAAGTAATATCCCATTTATTTTTTCTAATATAAAACCTTATTTGAAGAAGAATATCTTTATCTCAGAAGAAGCTCCATGTTTTAGCATGGTGTCTTTAGCATGAGTAAGAAATTTGATGAGTTATTACATATTCATAAGTCTAGAAATGAATACATTTAATATGATATACCCCTTTGCTATTGCATCAGCAACTATTTTGCTTGCTTCCATTTTCTGATGATTGTGTTTGACAAGTTGAAAATAAAACAAATACTATTAAGATATATCTAAACTTCACTATTTACATTTTCCTTTTTAATATCTAATACTAGGTTTTCAAGAGTAGTTAAGATTTTCTTATACTAATTATAAGTTTTAATCTCATCTTCTAATAATCCTCCAGTATCATTATACTTATCAACTTCTTCCTATTTATTATTTTTATCAACTTTATCAACTTCCTCCTTTTCATCAACTTTCTCTTCTTCATCACAAGCTTCTTCAGTAGCTTCTTTTTGGTTTCAAAAGGTATACAACATATGCATTCCTCATGCTGTTGCTGTCTTTTTCTTCTTTTAGTATAGATTGAGTTTTCCAAATAAGATAGTTTACAGTGTTTGTTAGAATTATATTTGTTATAATATTTATTTGCTATATACTGAAGTTTATTTGCAAACCTTTCAATATTATTATTTTCACTTTGCTCTTTATAACTAAAAAAACTTTCATCACTATTATCATTATAATAATTTCTTGCTATTATATGAAGCTTCTTTATAATGCTTGCTGTATTTTTATTCTCAACCACTTCATCACAAGAAAACTCTTTAGAATTTTTTATTTCAGAATTTTCTGCCTCAGAATTTTTTGTTTCAGAATTGTTGACACTAACATTATGCTTATATACCTTGGCTTTATAAACCTTTTTAGATCTTTTTTAATAGTTTGTTAAACACAGCATATTAATTATTACTAACAAATTGATTGTTTAAAATTATTTTATAATTTTATTGCAGAAAAAACTTATGAAGTTATTTCTAATACAATTGTTGATTATGTTTATATTTAATATTATGGTTAATTTTATAATTTATAATTACATAATTAGAAAATTTTATTAGTTCAATCTAATGAAGCTTTGGCATTATAATCGAGTGATTAGTATAATTAATCAATATAATAATCAAGATAGATAATTTAATAAGCATAAGGTAATTAAGTAAGCATGAGGCAATTGAATATAAGATAATTGAATAAGTATGAGGTAATTAGATTATATCAATAGTAAGTATAGAAAATCGATCTTGTCTTTTTTGCGAACCTTCTAGTTATATCAATTCCTTACCTTACCTCAATATGATACAATGTTTGTTTTTACTGGCCTGTTAAGACAACAGTTATAAAATGTAGCCTATTGAGATAATACTAACATATAGGTAGGAATAGCTTGTTATAACAATAATATGATACATAATTAAAAAAAAGGATGCAAAAAAAAAGCGATGTTATGAATGAAATGTAGGTTGCTTAATAGCTGAAACCATTATTGTTTTATACTCATCAATGAAAAACAAAACAAAGTTGTAGTGCAAAGATTCTACAGTTTGATTTATTATAATAATTTAAGTTATTATATTTTTTTTTTTATTATTTACAAGTTCTGACTAAACTGGGTATAGGATGAGAATAGAAATATATAAATATAATTAATTGATTAATAAAATAGAAAATAGTGATAGTGGAATAAGAGTTATAGCTAAAGAATAATTTATATAAGTAATTCTATTTAATAATTCTACTTTTCTTAATGACCATCTATAATAAACTCAAATTCTTTAATAAAATATATTCAATATAACTTTTGCAATACCCAAAGCTAATCTGCGCATACATATGTATTGCTCTCAACTGAGTAATTAATTTATCAAATATTCAGTAATTTAACAATATGCAGTATCTTTATTTCACACCAACCTTAATAAAAAAATTTTGAATTAATTATTCACATACAGTTTAACCCACCAACTAATCACAACTAATTTACTGAAGTTAAAGTTGATTTAACGAATTAATTAAAAAACTTTGCCAATTCAAATCATTAATTCAATTTATATAAAACAATTAAATTTGGCTGTGTTATCGTTATATAGTATAATAAAATACATTTGGCTGTGTTATATGATTTATTATAATAAAACACAAATTTGATCATATTATATAATTTATTATAATAAAATATAAATTTGGCTATAGTATATAACCTTTTATATTTGGCTGCAAAAAAATCTTATTTGTCAAGACTAAATTGTATACACTGTATTTATTTGTATAATCTATTTGTTATAAATTCTAACTTATATTTGGATTTTTTTTTGTATTTTTGCTGAGGTTTATTATTTGACAAAAGCAGTTTTTTCTATAAATTTTATACAAATTAAGCATATCAAATATATTAAATAAACATTTAACTAAAAGTTCAATAATATTATCCCTTAGATTGTAATAGAACGCAGACAAATTTGCCTGTGTTTTTGCACTTTTTTAGCTCTGATTTATTTTTTTAAAAACTAAAATATTTAAATGAAACTTTGTACAATTATATTTGAAAATAAGGATTATTTTTTTGCAGTATTTATTTT